AATAGCAGTCAGATAACAGACTAGATTTTCACGTTTTCTTATCTTACTCATATTTCTTAGCTTATCCTTGATTCTTTGATTTCTAAGCTACTTACGAAAGCAAAAGATCTTGAATGGGTGAAATTTAAGAAAAGAAAACATAGGAAAATAGGGCAAAAACAGCCAGAGTTTGTCGCGTAGTGATGAGTGTAAGATCGGTAGACATCCTAAACTAGGTAAAGCACTTGTCAACCTCTGAAAAAAATTTGGAGTCAATTTTTCGAAGACACGCTAATGTGGGATAGTTTGAATGTAGAAATCACACATCACGCAACAATTCTCAAGTAATAAAATGTGCAGGTCAACCTACAGCTGCAGTCACATCCTACTTACGGTCTATTGCAAGGTTACAAGACAATTTGAACATGTGCGAAGTTCAGGTAGTACAGGAAGTCTTGTAAGTTTTTCTGCATATTTACATAATTTTTCATTTGTGTTCGCACTTGTAAATATCGGCATTGCATGGAATGAGATGTTTTTTTGCTTATAAAAATTCTTGTAACACTCTTACTTCTTTTCAGTGTGAAAGAGAGTCGCGATTTGGTAATTGTATGTAAGTGATCCACTAAGTATAAATATATGTTGCAAGTACTCAATATTTTCAATGTTCAGATTTCTGCGCTTTTATTACTTCATGTACTTTGCAAATTGACGCTGCATGAACTGCAGAAGCTTCATGCATCTATTTATCTTTGCTCATTTCACTTTTTTAGATTCAGGAACGTTATTACAAAGGTGCTCGTTTGCGTCACTGTTCTTCATCTGTTGCGCGTTTCCAGTCGCTCTTGCTACACTTTATCGTTGCTGCTATTTTAAGTTTGGTGTTTGATGTGAATATCAAGGTTCGTAAATTAGCTTTTGCCATAGAGTAGAGACGCAGAGGGCGTCGTTATGCCTAGCGTTCTATTGTGTCTCTTTTTGCTAGTTTGCTACAGTTAATGAAAGTACATTACACTTGATACGAGTTTAGGTTTGATTGGTGGCTTTGATTCTGCTTGAATCGATGCCCTTATCTGGATTGTCGATCTAATCTGTATTCTTAGCGTGCTACACTTATCTTAGATCTCTTCTATTAGAAAGCAGCATACACACTGAAATGAGGCCTATACTATATTATACTAACTGGAAACACTTCTCAGAAATTGGAAGCATCAAGTCTCTATGATTTTAATTTTCACCATATTTCTATCCTAAAGTCGTTTAATGTAGGTGAGGACTAGTGTTTATGCGTTGTTGAGTCAAAATGTGAGATGCTTTTGTATGATTTTGGTTTGTTTATGGAGAATTAGTGTAGTTATAATCTTGACCAAGATATTGAAGTGCAAAGCTGCTCTCAAAGTAGTTTAGTGAGGGATTTCCATTTTGGAATGCGGTTAGACTCAAAATGACACTGCACCCTTCGTTTAGGCTGATTTAGTAACTAAATAACCGGTCGTGTAGATAATTTTACCTTGTGATCTAATTTGTAATTTATTACTTTCCCCTGAGATCCTACAATTGGTTGTTGTAAGGGATGCAGATCGGAATATTTCTCGTTTTTTTTGTGATTCCGAGAAACACGTTTTCACGAGTTGCAATGGTATGTAATTTCCATTCCATAGCGAGAATATTCAAGGAGTTATATTTATAGCCATGATTAAGTAGGATACAGTGCAATGCAAATTTAATAGCTGTAGCATACTAAAATTTTAGTGTTTTATAAAAGGTCAATAATTAAGCCCTGTTCGGATGTTTTTCTAAATGAGATTTACTGTTAACTTATCTATACCATTTATCCTATATCAATATTGATTGTTTTTTCTTGTATGCTGTACAGATACGTTAGTTTATTGTTTATTTGAAGTTCAATAAAATTTCCACTAAGACTTACGTGATCCACGATAGTAATCACTTCGTTCTAGTGATTGGATAGTAGTGATTTTGTGCTGGAAAAGACATTGTAGCTGTAGCGGTTTTTCACTTTTTTTTTGTCACAAATCCTTATTGCTCAGGCCTCTGCACGAGGTCTCCGATAGGACCTTACGAGAACGAATCACCGCTTGAAAGTCCAGGACATCACGAAGCCCCCTTTGTAACCTGTACAGACACGT